GCTAGTAGGAAATCAGGGCTCTGGGTGCAGAACTGAATTAGCAGGCCTTGACTCTTTGGCTGCCTTCATATATCACCCTGGCTGAGTCATTGCCCTTCTCTGGGTTTTAGTTCTTCCTTTGTGGGCTTGAGCTAGATGATTTCTTCTAGCTCTGCAATTTTGTGTGTCTATTCTCTTAAATATAAAGTAGATTTGAAAGGCATTTATGCTGTTATCATTGAAGTTAACTTTTCATTTATCCATACAAATTGAGGGTTTGGATAACCCAGGGAGTTAGTTTTACTGTCTTTGAAATCTATAAAATGAGAGGTTTGGAGTCTGATGAAATATTCTGCAAAGCAAAACCTACCTTTTTTGGGAGCTTAACCAGTCTGTCTTCCCACCTCCCCCTTCTCTCAGATGGTCTTCCCTATTTCTTGTATACTTATTAGTACATAACTGTTTACTTGTTGTCTCTTCCATTTAAATTTAAGCTCCTTGTGGGCAAAGATGTCGTTTTGCCCGTTGTTTTCCCAGCACTTGTCACAGTTCCTGGTACATAATAAATATTTGTTAAATGCTTATTGACAGATTTTACAACAGGGATAACGCTATCTTTAATTTAAAAAAAAATTCACTCCCCACATATACTGTTATTACAGTATTAGGGAAGGATTGATCTGTTGTGACAGATTAGGAAAGCTAAGAAAGGGATAAAATGGAAAGATCTTGGCCATGTAGTTCATGGAGGATCCCCCAGGAGATCAGTACTGAACCAACATGGTACTCCTGTTAACTGGTAGTCTGGGATGTGTGGACCATGAGTTTGACCCAGGCTGTACGCTACTAGAAATGGAAGTTTTGTAAAAGTCCTAACTAAAAAGGAGTAGGTCTAGGCAAAGAATTTAAGTATGGTGGGATTGACATGAACTTGGAAGGGTAATTTTATTGATCTCTTTTGTTATTATATCATAATTATTTCCTGTCCTATCTCCGATGACCCCTTCCTTATAATAAAAAATAGTAAAACCAACCCACATTACTTATCCAACATTCCTCATCCATGGCCCTATAACTCTGTATGAGGTGTAAAAGAAGTGTGCTTCATCATCTTCCCAGGGTCAAGATTGATTGGTCATTATAATTAGTTTGGCTACCTTTTCAGTATTTTTTTCATTTATATTATTGTAGTCATCATGTATATTGTTTTCTGGCTCTGTTTACTTGACTGCATCACCTCATGTAGTTCATTCCATGTTTCTCTGAATCTTTCATTATTTTTGTTCAGTAAGTGCCCAGTTTGTTTCCAGTTTTTGCCCCCACAGAAAGTGCATTTATGAGTAATAGTTACTATGTATGTCATTAATCTTGTGGTGGTATGTCTTTAATCTAGTACGAAGATATTTAGATTAAAAGAAATTAATAATTTAGTGACTTTTCTAGTAGAAGTCCAAATAGTTTTTCAGAATGGTTGGATCAGTTCACAGCTTCAACAGTATAGTATTGTGCCAGTTTATTCATAGCTTCTCCAACAGATTGTTTCTTGCCAAGTCAGATGGGTGAAAGGTAAGAAACTCAGCGTTGTTTTCATTTACATTTCCATAGTAGTGATTTGAAGCATTTTTTAAATGGCTGCTGCCTTTTTGTAGTTCTTTGGACAATTTATTCTTAACCATTTGATCACTTATCTTTTAGGGAATGGTTCTTGGTATTTTTTTTTCTCAATTCCTTGTACATCTTGGATATCAGACATATCAGAAAAAGTTTATTTCTTCATCTGAAAATTAAGGATAATAATAGTTACAATATTTCCTTGAAGAAGTTTCCTTATAAACTGTTGTAGCACTATAGAAATGTAAATTGCTGCTATTTAATTTTTTAAAATAGCATGTTCTAACCTAGGAAGGCCCTCAGTCTGCTCTACCTCCTAGACTTGTTCCCCAGCCAGTTATAAAACATTTCGGCTCCCAGCACTTTGACCCTCTCACTATGTTGAATATAAAGGGATACCAAAAGTGGGAAGAGTGGAAGACCATAGGACATGGCAAGGAGGGTAAATTTTGTCCCAGATGTTAATGTAAATTAAAATCATAGGATTTAAGTGCTAGAAGGAGCCTTAGTTATATACTAGTCTACCCTCACCCTGGCTTTATAAGTGAAGAAATCGAGGCTCAGAAAAGAAAGGAAGTGACTTTGGCCCAAGGTCATACAGGTCATACTGTAAGTATCAGAGCCTGGATTTGAACCCAGGTTCACTCTAAATCTAATGCTCTTGACACTGCCATATAACCAGCCAAGCACACTCCTTAATTTGGTGTCTACCGTTGTGCTCCAAAACTTTTAGAAGGTACTATGACATCAGGGGCAGGGAGAAGTTCACTTGGAAAATCCTGGGGTCAGAGAGGTGTAACACCTGTGTTTTGGTCTACAGAAGCTACCCTGGCCTAGTCATTGTAACAGTAGCTCACAGCTATATAGCCAAGCAAAAAAGCCTTCTCCCACAGACCTAATTCTGACCTACAGTTGTTAATTTGAGAGTAAGCTAGGTGGTTAAATGGATAAATGAATAAGGGGCTTGGAGTCAGGAAGATCTGGATTCAAATTCTGTCTCTGATTCTTAAAATAACTGCGACTTTGGGGAGGGGTAATTCACTTAACCTCTGTCCCTCAGTTTCCTCATCTGCAAAATGAGGGTGGCCTGTGAGTTCCTTCCAACTTTGAATCTCTGATCATATATTAAGGTTTACAAAGTGCTTTCCTCATAACGACCTTATTAGGTATCCCATTAAGTAATGTCATTCCTGGTTGTGTTGTTTTTGTTTTTTTTTTTTTTTCCCTTGCCAGTGAGGAAACTAAATCAGAGGGGTCCAGTTGCTCAGAATCACAGATACTTGAATATTCAGCAGTTAGCATTCAAACCCAGATCTTTGACCCCAATCTAAGGGCTCTTTCCACTACACTTTGGTGATCACACCAAGTTATTAGGAGCTCCCAGGGGTTGGGGCAGTGCCAGCCTGGTTGGAAATATGGGTGAGTGAGTGAAAATTACTGTGTACCTGGGGGTGGGCAGAGATGAACAGACAGACCAGTGGTAGTTCAGGCTTGATTTGTGGACTACCTTTGTGGGGTGTCTCTAAAAGCAGCAGTATCTTCTCTGGGAGCTGGTGTCAGGAATGTGGTGGTAAAGAGCTGGGTGGGGACACTTTCTGCCCATTAAGGGAACATCGGTCAGACCAAAGGGGTAGAACATTCCCTTCGAAGTCAGCTCAGTGAGTGTTTCTCCTCTCAGAGTCTGGGAGATGTCATCTTCCCCAGCTGGTAGCTAGTTGATAAGCGAGCAGAAGAGGGTGGGAGGTGAGTGGGAGAAAAACCTCAGGGTATTGAGTCTTAAAAGGTCATTGATCTCTGTGGCTATGTTTGGAACTTAGTGGCTGGAGACCTGGTAGGAGGGAGTGTGGTGGAAGTCGCTTCCTCTTTAAAATCTCAGAAGGTTCCCTGCCTATGACCCATAATGGAGTTTTAGAATGTTACCACCTGAGCCGCCTCAGATACCATATAGTACAACCCTCCTGATTTTATAGGAGGAGGAAGCTGAGGCTCAGCCAGGTAGTGACAGAACTGGATCCCCACCCAGGCCTTGATTCTCATTATACCATACTACTACCTACATATTTACATATCTTAGCTCATTCATTCCTCACCACCTCTTTCCATATTTATTCTTTGGCAAGGCAAGGGTCTTCTGTGTGGTTGGGGGAAGACTGTTCCTCAGTAATAATCTCTGAACCTCAAGGATAGTGATGTGGGCCCTATATTACCAGGCTTGGGAGATGCCCAGACTGGCTTCGGACTTGATTGAATTCTTAGAAGCCCATTTTGCCTTTCCCTGGGTACACAATATCATTTTCCCGTCCCTAGCTTCTATGCCTTTCCCTGACACCTCTGTTCTCATACTCCCTTACCTATGGCATCATTGGATTTAAAGTGGGAAGGAACTCTAGATCATCTTATTTACAATAGAAGAAGTTGAATGACTTGGCCTATATTCATAGTAGATAGAGACAGTAAAGCCGAAGAGCTAAAAAATTAGGAGAATCCTTAGTGGAAGTTACGTTGGGTCTCTTAGTCCCAGATCTGTCCTTTCTCTAGGTTGCCTATCCCTTTGGTATCCCTGTGAATCTTTCTGTTCTCTAAGCTAGAATCCCTTGCCACAGTGCTTTTGGATCTGATGTAGGGAAGTGTAGATTTGGTCTGATGACCCTCAGGTCTCAAGACCTTTATGCCCAACGAAGGAGCTAGAGGCCTGGATTTAACTTTTTGATTCAGTAGCACCCAACCTAGTCATAGTGCCTAGTATGTGGGTGGGTGTTTAATAAATGTTTCAGTGATGGATGTGTGTTCATCAACTTGGGTCATGAGAAAGCTCACAAAAAAGTAGAATTTGGCCTACCCTCAGCCCCATCACCTTAGAACCAGAAACTGTGAGAAAATTGAGGCAGAAAGTTAAAGGTCCAGAGTCTAAGATCCTGAGCTTGAGTTTTCCCACCTGCCTCATGTTAGAGGGAATTGGTACAGGAATTATAAGATCATAGGCATTAGAAAGCTACAACAGGGTCCTTATTGGTCATCTGAGACTTATTTCTTCCCTTGGGTGGGGAGTTGAGGCCACTGAGAAAGAATCTCAGTTGTCTACTGCTTTTGAGAATTCATTCTCTGAGACAGAGTTTGCCTTCCTTTCTCTGCTTTTAAATTTTTCCAATCCTTGCTTTTAAAGCCTGAGCAGAACAAGAGAATTGAGGAGAAGCTGTTTTCTATTGAGTGTGGATCACCTGAGCCTTTCTTTTTTCATCATCTACCTTGGCTTTACTGATCTTGGGGAGGTTCAGATTTGGGGGTCTATTTGTGCAATAGAGGGAGAAGGGGGATAGGAAGTAGGGACTCATTTGGGAGAGGGGAGGATTGTGCTCTTTCTCTCGCTTGCCTCAGGTTCAACCAATGTCTTTTTCATATTATCCCTACAGAGCACTCAGCTCCGGCCAAAGTGGTGAGGGCAGCCAACCCCAAACCTCGAAAAGGTAGCAAGGTATGTTGATGGTATCAATTGGAGATGTTTCTCAGGGGCAGTCTTCCTTTCACCTGGGGCCCTATGAGATTGGGTTTTTCAGCCAGGAGCCCTCTCCATCTGTGGTACCAGCTGCATCTCCCCCTCAGGCTCTGCCTAAACAGCAGCTGTTCAGTGTTAGGGATGAGGGTGGCTATTGGAGGAGGGAGGAGATGATCCTGACTGTCCATCCTCATCTCACACCTCAGTCCCCACTGCTTTGATGGCCAGTATTAAGCTGGGGGTAGGGGGACAGTGTTTAAGACTATCCTAAATAAGGAATTGAGAGATGAGGGGAGGAAAGGTGATAAGGGCACATCAGTGTTAAGAGAATGACCTAATTTTGTGTTCCAGGTGAGTGATTTTGGAGATGCTACCAACTGGCCCACACCTGGGGAGATAGCCCACAAGAGTGTTCAGGTAAGAGGCTAGGGTTGGCACAATTGAACTCATCTTGTATATACCCTCCTCTACTAACTCAGTTTCTTAGCCTTTGACTTTAAGAAGCTAGAGTCCAGAAGAAAGATAGGGGTGTGGTAAGAAATGGGTGGTATAAAAGTGAAGTTGTACTGGAATGCTACTATATCTACTTCCATGATCTGGACTAAGCACATTCCCCAGTCTCTAGCCAGAATGGTTTTGGGGACCTGAATTCCAGGTCAGGAGGGACCAAGAATAGCTTCCCCATAGACTGTGGGCCTTAGATTGCCTTGTTAGGCCTTCGCTGTTCACCAGTTTCTTTATTCCATTCTGCTATTCTGGGACTGCAGGCTGGATAATCTTCCTGGCCAGGCCTCTAGGCTGTGACTGCCAATGTGCTCTAGTCTCTCCCTCAAAAGCTGTTTGCGGGTGGGTAATGTGACCCTGGGTCTGGCTTTTCCCCAGCTTTCCCACAGAGGGGAGATCCTTAGTCCCTTCAGGCCCTAACTTGCCCAGGGCTCTGCCTCTCAGATTAAGTAGCCAGCAGACCTGTGTATAGAGTAGTAATAATAATAAGGTAACAGTAATGACTCAATTCTGTAATGCTTCAAGATTCACAAAGTATTTCAGGAAGGCTGTGAGGTAGACAAGGCGATTATCCCTATTTTAACAGATGAGGAAGCTGAGGAACCAAGAGGTTTACCAAGGATCACATAGTAAATGTCATCTTGGATTCAAATACTGGTCTTCTGACTAATTTAACCAGAAATTATCTCCCATTTTAAAAGTAATAATAATAATAATAGCTAGAAATTTTGTAGTGCTTTAGAGTTTGCGAAGCACTTTGCATGTATGATCTCATGTGGTCTGCATAGTAGTCCTGTGAGGGAGGCGCTATTATCTCCTTTTACAGATAAACTGAGGTGTGAGAGATGTTAAGTGACTTGGCTGGGGTCACACAGCCAGTCGATGTCTGAGGAAGGATTGGAGCCCCAGGTCTAGCACCATATATTGTACCCCACCTAGCTATAGAAGAAACTCCCAGAGTTTAAGGTCTCTTAAACTACTCAGTATTTCCCTTTCAGCACACTCCACTCTGTGGGGTGCTATCTAGGGAAACATGGTGGGTCAGGGAAGGTTGCCTCTGCCCCTGACTGATTTACTCTCTCATCTACTGAATCATTTGTGAAGAGCCCCTTATTTCTCTTCCAGCCCCAGCCCCATAAGCCAGCTCCACTTCGCAAACCACCCCTGAAGAAGGACATGAAGGAACAGGAAAAAGGAGATAGCAGTGACAATAAGGAAAGTCCAAAGGCCAAGTCAGATGAATCTGGAGAAGAAAAGAATGGGGATGATGATAGCCAGAAAGCTGGACAGAAGAAGAAAGGTAAGGGGCCTGACTCCTGGGAAAGACCAGACCTATAAGTTGGGCATTCTATCTGTGGGAAGTGTTGGTCTTGAAGGGGCTGGGAAGAGGTGTCACTGAAGAGCCCCCCTCTCCCCTAACGGTGTTTCACGTGCTCACGATGTCCCCCAGGGAGCAAACACAAGTGGGTTCCATTGCAAATAGACATGAAGTCAGATGTGGCCCGGGACAAAACTGCTTTACGTACCAACCGCCAGAATGAGCAGCTTCGCCACCCGTCTGCCAGCCGTGGTGAGGTCAAAGGTACCTGAGAGTGTTGCTGGGTGGGGAGGACCTCGTGGTGGTGGGCTGGAGAGTGGGAAGCTTTTAGGGGTAGATAGGAAACTGGGGAAGAAAGGAGCTATCCCCCAGGTGGATGAACCCCTCCCCTCCCCCTTCTCTCCAGGACTGAGCCAAGGTCCCCCCTCTTCCCCGGGGTGGCATCCGGACAACAAACAGGAAAGGGCCTGGCCCGACCATGATGAGACGTCAAGCGTGAAGAGTGAGGGGGGAGCCATTCGGGGCGCGTTCCGGGGCCGAGGCCGGGGCCGAGGCAGAGGCCGGGGCCGAGGCCGGGGCAACACTCGATGTACGTGAGAGCTGAGAATGGGGTGAGGGGAGTAGGACTGAGTGCATAGGCTGTGGGTAGGGAATGTTGAACCAATCCCCTTTCTTCTCCCAGCCAAGCTGAGGTCATCAACAGAATGTAATTCTGGATTCCTCTTGTGACCTTCATATAGATTTCAGAAGACCTGGGAGGGTCCTTAAAATGCAAGATAGTAGAACTGAAAGGGGTCTTCAACTATTAGAGCATAGTGTCTAGAACATCTCCAGAGAGGTTGTGACTTGTCTAAGGTAGTAGCAGGGCCAAGTCTGGAATCCGTGTCTTGGGACTTGCAAAATGGTGGTCTTTTACTTTTCCGTGTTTTCATCTTTGTCATCCATCTGGGCAGAACACTGACACCAGCCTGATTTTGTTCCCTCAGCAGCACCTGTCTGTTCTTCCCAGGAAAGTTCCCTAACAGGGAAAGTTCCTGTCCTCTCATGGCGTGATAACATCCTTCTCTTTTCTCCCACTCCACAGCCCACTTTGATTACCAATATGGCTACCGAAAGTATGACTGCTCTGATGGCTCTCGCACCCCCAAGTACCAAAGTAACATCACCTATTACTTTGACAATGTGAGCAGCAATGATCTGTATAATGTGGACCAGGAGCTGCTGAAAGACTACATTAAGCGACAGATGTGAGTTGGGGTTGATGAGGGAGTAGGGAGAATGATTATGCTCTGGGGATGGTGGCAGGGAGTTCAAAGGTCCAAGGTCGGTTTCTGGTGGAACAATAAGATGGTGTGTGGTAGTGGAGAGTTTATTCTGTATTTGGAGTCATGAGACCTGAGTTCAAATATGGATTCTTCTGCTTGTTCGTTGTGTGACCCAGGACAAGTCACCATCTCTGAGTGTCAGTTTTCCTATCTGCAGATGCGGAAGTTGAACAGATCTCAGAAATTTCTTCTAGCTCTAAACCTGTGATCCTGTATTTTACTCTGCCCTCCTTAACCTTGTCAGGCCATGTCTATTCAAGTCAGCAACATGGAGTGTCTGCTTTGTACCCAGCTCTGTGCTAGGCACTGAGAGGGGAGGGAGGGTACCAGTTAGGAAGGTACTCTTTGATTTCAGAGCATAGAGTCCTCTTGGGGAGACAAAGATAGTGTGTCCAGAGGTTATGTAACAGCATGAAAGTGTATGATTAATAATAACTAGCATTGAAGGTTTATAAAACAGCATACATGGATTATCATTTATTTGATCCTCACAAAAATCTTATGCAGTAGGCACTATTGTCAGTTGAAGCTGAGCAAAGTTAAATAGCTTGCTTAGGGTCACTTGGTTAGTAAATGTCCTAGGCAAGATTAGCTCTCTTATCTACTATACCACCTAGCTCCCTCATTGCACATCTGTAGGTTAGTCTAGGATCATAGATAGAGAGCTAGGAAAACTGAGGCACAGGGATTTGGTGACTTGCTTAAGGCCACTCAACTAATATCTGAGATGGGATTTCAACTTAACATTTTCTTATTCTAAGAGTAGTATGCCATACTGGTACAGTGTATTACATCTCTACTACACCATACTGCTGCTTATTTTATTAGGTGGTCTCTCTCTTTTCTCTGTGTGTGTGTGTCTCTCTCTCTGTGTCTCTCTTTCTGTTTTGTCTCTCTTTCTGTCTCTCTCTTTCTTCCCCCTTTTTTATGGGAGGGTTCCATTCTTGGGGTACAAGGCCTTTTTGAGAAGTGAAAGATTTAAGTGCAGGAAAAGGCTGTTGAAGCACTATGAGAAGGAAAATTTCAGTGCATATTATTGATCTGTGGAGAGTTGTGTGCAGAAAAATCACTGTGGGGTCCTTTGCCCACTCTCCCCTCTTACCTACTTCTCTTTCTTCCTTCCTGGGTGAGTAGTGAATACTACTTCAGTGTAGACAATTTGGAGCGAGACTTCTTCCTGCGGCGTAAAATGGACAATGATGGTTTCCTTCCTATCACCCTCATTGCCTCCTTCCACAGAGTGAAAGCCCTCACCACTGAAGTGGGCCTCATCATCCAGGTGCCAGGGAATAGGGGGCACTGCAGGGAATGGATAAAACAGTTGAGGACCTGGAGGGAGGAGGGATCCTGGCCTTGGGGGGTGGGGGGGAGAGCCTGCTTCCGTTTGCACTGGTGATTGCCCCAGAAACATGCCCATTTTCTAGAATTCTAATGGGGTCTGACCAGCTGTAGGGGGAGTCTTGTCACTATTACCCACATTCCTCCTTTAGGCCTTAAAGGATAGCAAGGTGGTTGAGATTGTAGAGCAGAAAATCCGGAGAAAGGAGCAGCCTGAGAAGTGGCCTCTACCAGGACCCACAATGACAGATTACTCCCAGACTGACTTCTCTCAGCTCATCAACTGCCCTGAGTTTGTGCCCCGACAGAGTTTCCAGAAGGAGACAGGTTGGTGGGGGGAGGTTGGAGAGGTGGGAAGCAGAGCTGGGGAGACCACCTATGGGAAGGTGTTACATACTGCCTGAGAGGGAGGACTGCAGGGCTTAGGCAGCAGTTCATAAATGTTCTTCATGGTTTCCTTGGAAAGAGGAATGGGGGCCGTTCAAGATTTAGGCCCAAGTGTATTCTAATGCCAGCACTCCCTCCAGAATCGGCACCGGGTTCTCCCCGATCGGCCACTCCTGTGCCAGCTAAGACAGAAGAGGTCAGCAACCTAAAGACGCTACCCAAGGGCCTCTCAGCCAGCCTGCCTGACCTAGATTCAGAGAATTGGATAGAGGTGAAGAAGAGGCCTCGGCCATCTCCGGCAAGACCCAAGGTTGGTATTGACTCCACCAGCAGCAGTGTGGGTGGGGGGTTGGACAGGCTGTAAAGACCTTTGTTCTTTTTGCTTTGCCATGTCCACTCATCTGGGAAGTTTCTGTAATCCGATGTTTGTTCTACAGAAGGTTGGAGGGCCTTGAGGCCGGTGTGTTCTAACCCTTGCTTGCCCTGTCCATCCTCATTTACTCCCTGCTCCCTTTCCTCATAGTGTCTTAGTCTTAACCTGTCTCACTCCAGCATGGGATGACCCTGATGTGCCAGCGCATGCACATAGATATCCAGGTGTGTCAGAACAGTGAGGCTTCAGAGTCCCAGTGTTGGAGGTGGAACCACATTCCAGAAATCCTACACCCTCAAGGGTTCCTTGAGGACCCAGACCTTCCTAGATGGTTGCAGACCCTCCTTTGGTTTCTTGCCATAGCCCTTGATTTTTAATAGTCCTCAGTCACTTCTTCTCAAATTTAAACCCCTACAGGGCTTCAGTTGAAACCACTCTCCTCTTGCTTTCTCATCAGAAAACAGAACTATCCCCTATTAAAAGCCTTTCTAATATACCTGAAGGGAAGTTGTTTCATCACCTTTGAAAAGGTGTTAAGAAGATTTGTTTCAGTCTCCATTTTGCTCTTAACCTAAATCACTTTGTGGCTTTGGGCAAAATGACTTCTCAGTTCCCTCCTCTATAAAATGAGAGGGTTGGACTTATTTTTAATTTTTTTGTTGTTTGTTTTTGTTTTTCTGAAATTAACGAATATTTACAAACAGGATCATTTCTATATACAAAGAAGAACAACAGAAAAAGAGGATTGCCTATGAAACCACCAGTCTCGACGTACAGCTTGCATATCTTTTCAAAGTTATTTAATAAATTGAATACGTTCGTTTCAGAGCTGTCCTGCTTGTCTGTGCCTTCCTCCAAACCCCCCCTTCTGTTCTTTTTTCTGCATTTAAAAAAAAATGCAGTGACCCTCTTTCCTCTTTTTTTTTTTTTTTGCATCACTATTGTTAGTCTTCTCTTCTCGTCCCATATCCCACCATCCCTCCTCTTCTCCCTCCCACCCTTACCCCACTCCCACTTCCAAAGCACCTTATAACAAATAGGCAGAATTAAGCAAAACATCCACACATTGTCCATATCTGAAAAGATGTCTCAGCCTATACCTCCAGTCCCCTGTGTCTCTGTTGTGCAGACCCACCCACTCGTAGCAAAGGTGAAGGTACAAGTTGCATTTTCTTGTCTCTTATTCTCTTGGCCATTATAAGTATTGCAGCCTTCAGCTGTGCTTTTTTTCCCCCTCTTTTTATTTGTTGTTTTATTAGTCTCATATATACTCTTTTCCCAATTGTGTTTTTTCACTCTATCAGTTCTTATAAGTCTTCTCATGTTTCTCTGTATTCTTCACGTTTCTTATTTCTTATGGCAAAGTAATATTCCATTACATTTGTGTACCACAGTTGTTTAGCCCTTCTCCAGTCATTGTACTTCAACTCTGTTTCTGGTTCTTTGCAAGCACATGTACACATGTATGTGCTTGGGCGCGTGCATGCACACGCGCACACACACACACACACACTTTTATGAGTATTTTGATGTGTGTGCAACCTTTCTGTCTTTGACCTTCTTAGGGTTACCTAGCAGCAGGATATCTGGATCAGATGGTATAAGCATAGTCACATTTTGTAGTAGAATTCTAGATGGCTTTCCACATTGGTTAGACCAACCCACAGTTCACCAGCAGAGCATTTAGAGTTTTGTCTTTCTGTGGTGCTTCCAGCATTGCCTAGTTTCCTTTCATCTTCTTGGATTTAATGGTTTTTAAATCAAAAATTCTAAATTACTTCTGAAATGGATCCAGCTACCTCTTCTGGAGACTATCTTGTGGCCTGTCTGCTCTCTACTCATGAGGTTTTCACGTCTCTGGAGGCCAGAAAGAAACCCCAGTGAGGTGTCTTTCAGATGAACTGTGACCCTCTGACTGACAATTTGGATCAGACTGGCTCATTTACCCTTTTACCACAGTGACTTATCCATAGCCACAGTAGTTTGCAGTTACCATTGCCCCTTCAGTAACATAAGGAAATTGGAGCCAAATCTCCCAAATGATCCCAGAAATCTGGTGCAGTTCTAAGAGTTCAGACTAAAGACACACAGTGTCTTCTACAAGCAAAAGAATGAAAAAGGAAATGGAATTAGAGCTTGTGCAGTCATGAAGGGCATGGATGAAGCAGACGTGTTTAATACTTTGCTTGCACTATATAAGCATTTTTTAAAATTTATTTTTAGTTTTTAACATTCACTTCAGCAAGATTTTGAGTTCCAGATTTTCTCCCCGTCTCACCCCCCCCAGCCCAAGATGGCATGCATTCTGAATACCCTTTCCCCTAATCTGCCCTCCCTTCTATCCCCCCCCCCCTCTTATTCCCTTTCCCTTCTACTTTCCTGTAGGGCAGGATAGATTTCTATGCCCATTTCCTGTATTTCTTATTTCCCTATATAAGCGTTTATTAAGGTGCCTACTATGTGCTGGCACTAATCTAGGCATTGGAGATACAAAAGCAAAAGTGACATTACTTGCTTTTAAGGTAGTTTCCATTCTAATGGCAGACAGAAACGTACATGTATAGATATGTGTTTAGATAGACATCATGTATATACAGATACACAAAATAAATATTAGGTAGTATAGGGAATGCAAGGGTACTAATAACTGGGAGAATAAGGAAAGGCCTGATAGAGAAGGTAGTGTTTGGGCTGAGTCTTGAAAGAGACTATTCTGGGAGGAGGAGGTGAGGAAGGGGGTGCATTCTAGGCATGAGGGACAGACAATGCAAAGGTTGTCATTGGGGAACAACAGAAGTGCCAATTTTACTGGACTGGGGGTCCATGAAGAGCGATGTCTAGTAAGGGTTGAAAGGTGGTTTGGGGGGCCAGTTGTAGAGGGTTTTCATTGCCAAAGGAGTTTCTGTTTTCATCCTAGAAACAGTAGAGAACTACTTTTTAAGTAGAGAAATGACAGACCTATTCTTTACAAAAATCACAGATTATTTAGTGGATGGACTGGACTGTTGAGAGATCTGAGGGAAGGACATTAGAATACTGTTGTTATAGTTTAGTTGAGAGGTGATAAGGGCTTGGAACTAGGGTGGTTGCTATGTGAGAGGGTGCTCTTTAACTCTAAAAAGAACTGGGTTTAGTATGAAGGAGAGGCATTAATACCAAGAGAGCTGACATTGAGCCTCTGATACATACTGGCTGCATAGCCTGGATGTGTCATTTAACCTCTCTTGGCCAGTGGTCTCCTAAGTAGGGGCTGTGGCATCACTCCCAAAGAGTGTACGCAATCTGAGAGTGGTTAGATAGATTACATCCCACTCTCCCTGTAATAGACATTTGTGAGGCTTCTCCAACAACCACACCTACCCTTATTCCTCAGTACTTCCCAGCTACCCTCTTCCCCTAGGGAAGTTATAACTTAACCTCTTATCTGGACACCCTCAGCAACAACTGAGCTGGTGCCACGGGGAAAATTGGCCCCTTTCCCCTCACATCATCTCACCACTGTGAAGCTTTGCATTCTGGAACATTGATAGGTAAGAGCCTCACTCTTCTATCATTTTCCTCCTTTTCAGTATGGGTGGAAATATTAGATGAATTTCAGTCTCAGAAACGCAGACCTCTCAACCCTTTCTCCCTCCAGACTTTCCCCTCTTCTAATTCTCTTACTGTTTTCAAGGGCACCATCATCTTTCCAACCAACCATATTGGTACTCTTGATTATCTTCAATTCTTCATTCTCCCTCACACTACATATCAGTTGGCACATCTTGTCGTTTTCTACCTTCTACCACATTTTCCTCCATTTCTTTCTTTCTTTTTTTTTTTTTTTTGTTTTTGTTGGGCAGTGGGGGTTAAGTGACTTAACCAGGGTCACACAGGTAGTGTTAGGTGTCTGAGGCCGAATTTGAACTCAGGTCCTCCTGAATCCAGGGCTGGTGCTCTATCCACTGCGCTACTTAGCTGCCCCCCATTTTTTTCTTTCTCTTAGACAACTACATCTTAATTTAGAACCACATTTTCTCTTGGACTGTTGCAGTAGCTTCCTACTTGGACTCCTAATCTTAGATCTCTCATGTCCATCGTCCATATAGTGACCCTAGAAAATTCAAATGGCTTGTTGACTCTAAGATCAAATGTTATTTTGTCTTTTATCAAACTTTAAAAATTTCAATTTTTTTAAGGTTTTGTAACATCAATATAATAGCATGTATCTATAGTTTATAATTAAAATATTACAGATATGTGCTCAAAATGTTTTGCTTAGGATGCATTTTCAAAGAAGTTTGGATGTTGCTCCTCTATGTAATTCTAAGACTGTATTTCAGATAAGGTACTGATCTGCCTTGGTAGAGGGAGTTTCCTCACCAGGGAGTTTCTTAAACCAATTAAATCAGTCTCTCTCCCTGTAATGGAATTTTTTACCTCATAAAGTATGGAACAGCCTAAGCATACAGATAGAATTTTAGATAGAATTTTAGTCCTTTCTATAGTGACCAGTTGGCGAATACTTACAGAGTGCTCTATTATATGCTAGAAGTGGCAAGGGGGAAAGAATATTGGATCAGACACCATCCAAGATAATGGAATATATGGGAGTAGTGTAGCCAAGCTCTTTCCCACAACCACTCAACAGTAATCTAGAAACACCAGCTTTATGTTTTTGGAAAATCCAAGAAAAAAGCCACAGTCATTTTTCTAGCCCAAGTTGGTATACTAGAGATCTGCTAATAGGCTATAATGCAGAGCATTTCAGCACAGGGTTTGTACAAGAGCCTTTCATGGCTGTGCATCCAGGCAGGAAGAGGTCCCCACAGTTGGGACAGGGGCCTGACCCTATACGGGGACAAGAAATGGGTGCTAGCTGACAGCTCTGCATCTCACTACCCAGTGTGCTGAGTCACGGATCTGGTGCAGACTGAGGAAAGGGGACTTAAAGTGTTGGTCAAGAGCAAGGAAGTATTATGGATCGTAGGCTGCATACTCAACAAGTTTTAGATATAGAAAGTAAATAGCTGTGTGACTTAAACCAAGAGCAGAGCAAGGTCTCAGTTTAACCCAGCCTAGTCTGAAGCCTGCACCGGAATAACCAGGGTAGGAATCCCATACGAAAGGGGAACCTGCAGTTCTGTCACTAAACTTACAAGGCTTCCCAACTAGATAAGTGGGCAGGTCCAGCAACACTCCACCTTAACTCCAACTAGGGACAAACCCACATGTCTGTTCAACAGCTCAGACCCAAATCAGTGCAAGCAGACCCAAATCAGTGCAGAGATTAGACCAGGGGGCAGCACCCAGACTTCCCTCTGGATCAGACTACTTTGGGGACCCTGAAAACTTGCAGGTCTCCAGCTCGTTCCTGAGTTCCTAGGATAAAGAAGGCAGCAGCAGAACCAACCCAAACATTCCTTCCAGAAGCATACAGAACCTAAAGTCTGACATCAGGAAGTGGCCTTCATAGAGGGAACAAATAAAATTCTGCTGTAAAACATTTTGTGAGGGAAGCCCCAAAAGGAAAACATAGGTTGGGCACAAGTTTGACTAAAATTCCTGTAAGAAATAAACAAGGTTTTGTTTTTTTTTTTGAAAGGTAAAGATATTTTTAGAAAAGAATGTGAACACAAGAGGGAAAAATTGGAAGGGAAGTGAGAACTGTGGAAGAAAGAATTTAGAAAGGAATTAACAGCATGGCACAAGAGAAAAAAATCATGCCCAAGTAACAAATTCCCTAAAAATTAGAATGGATCAAATACAAGCTAATGACTCCATGAGATAACAAATACTCAAAAGAGTTACAAGAATGAAAAAGAAGAAAATGTAAACTATCTTGGGGGGGTGGGGAACTGACATGGAAAACATCAAGGGGAGAGAATTTAAAAATCATTGGATTGGATTAGCTGAAAACTATGACCAAAAAAAAGTTTAGACATAGTATTTCAAGAAGTTACAAAAGAAAGACTGCTCATATCTCTCATAACCAGAGGCCAAGGTAGAAAGGGATTTTTAGTCATCTTCTGAAAGAAACTCCCAAATGGAAACTCCTAGGAAGATTATGGCCAAAATCTAGAGCTTTAAGGTAAAAGAAAAAATATTATGAAAAAATTTAAGTTCTGATGAGCCACAGTCAGGATCGCACATGGTTTAGGAGCCAACTGATGTAAAGAAACAGCTTGTAATACTATATTCCAGAAGCAAATGGTACAAGCTTTATTATGCATCAAAATTGAGTATAATCCTATAGAGGGAAGTATTATTATTATTAAAGATACGGTTACTGCCTTCCACAAATTTATAGTGTATCCCTGGATTCATAATTATATATAAGTGAACCAGAGTAGCAGAGGATATCCCTTAGCATTAAGGTCAATAACAGATGATGATCCTGCTCTTCCATGTAGCCTTATAATCGGTCTCTCAACCTCTGGTTTCCTTCTAGTCAAATTTTCTGAATGATTCCCCAAATCCTCTTTTTATATTTTATTTTTGGAGGCAATGGAGGTTAAGTGATTTGCATAGGGTCACACAGCAGTAAAAGTGTCTGAGGTCAAATTTGAACTTGGGTCCTCCTGACTCCAAGGCCAGTGTTCTATCCACTGTACCACCTAGCTCCCCCCCCTCCAATACTCTTCTTAAAACACAGGTCTGACCACGTCACTACCTTAATCTAAAATCAAAATTCACTCTGACATTCACAGCCCTTCGGGATCTGGCTTCAGTCTGTCTTTCCAGACTTACTGTACATTTCATTCATGTGTGCTTTATTCCAACCGAACTGACAGATTTGCTCCCTGAATTCAACATTCCCTTTTCCACCTTGACCCCTTCTTTGAAATGTTTATTCGAGGCTTGCATAAAATGCCATCCCCTCTGTGCACCTTTTCCTAATTCCCCTAATTTTTCGCTCTCCTTCTTCACGTGTGTATTTATCTGTTTACATGTTAATAGCTTCTAATATAGTGATTCTTAAACCTTTTTTGGTGTCACGGACCTCTTCAGCAGTCTGAATCCTGTGCACTCAGAATTAGGTTGATGGCCCCTAGTTTAAGAGTCGCTGAGCCTTGTAGACTATAATCTCTTTGAGAGATGAGGACATATTTCCTTTTTGTCTTTGACTAGCAACCAGACCAGTGTTTTGTATATTAAACAAAGTTGACCAATGTTTATTAAATAAGTGAATGAAATATCCCCTGGGTTAGAGACAAAATTTGGGGATGATAGGTGCATTTATAGACATTTGAAGTCAATGAAAGTTTGGGTTGTGCCTCGAGATGAGGTCCTTCAAAGTTTAAAAATAAATAGGGAAAGTGTTTATACTGGTAAATGCCGTAGTCATCTGGATGGTCAGTTTAGGAAGCTGTTCTAAGAGCCCCATATAACCACATAGGCCTTTACCCTCCTACCCTGCTATGTCTTTCAGAAAGCAGAGGAGCCCAAATTCCTGCAGCAAACAGCTCCACTTCAGCAGCTGAAATCCAAGGACCAAGATGAACCCGAAGAGTTGGACTTTCTGTTTGATGAGGAGATGGAACAGATGGATGGGCGGAAGAACACCTTCACTGACTGGTCAGATGAGGACTCAGACTATGAGATTGATGATCGGGATGTCAACAAGATCCTCATTGTCACACAGACTCCACCTTACTTACGACGCCACCCTGGGGGTGACCGTACTGGTAACCATACCTCTCGTGCTAAGATGAGTTCAGAACTGGCCAAAGTTATAAATGATGGGCTCTTCTACTATGAGCAGGATCTGTGGACAGAGAAGTTTGAGCCTGAGTACTCCCAGATCAAGGTGAGAGCCTGGGGCCGCATCAGGGGCAGGAAAAGTGAGGTTTAGCCAGAGATTGAGTCTCATGTCAGTGGAGCTGTACAGAAGCATTTATCTGAGGGACTTTGTGTCATGTAGCAAGACCACGGCATAATTTATGGGTCACCCCAAGGTTCATGAAGTTAAGAATTGTTGAGGTATAGAGGGATGGACTTGATTTGGAAAGACTTCCTGGGAAGAGTGGCTTCCATCCTACTTTGGACCATACTGTGATTGAGGGGTAGGTTATAACTAATCTAGTTGGATGGCCACTCCTCCTAGCATAGCCCTGAGGCAAAAGGATTCTGTTCTCAGATGGAGAATTAACCCCACACTGGTTCTCTCTAGAAGATCCTTAATCGGGGGCCGTGCTGGTATCGCCAGACTGTCTCCTGACCCTTGTTCCTCTTTTCTTCCCACTTTTTGCTGCCCCTCTTTACAGCAAGAAGTTGAGAACTTCAAGAAAGTCAACATGATTAGCCGGGAACAGTTTGATACATTGACCCCTGAGCCCCCTGTTGACCCCAATCAAGAAGTCCCACCTGGGCCTCCACGATTCCAGCAAGGTAAGTCAGAGGAGGTCAAAGGTAGGGCTTATTCCAGTCCTAGCAAAGTGATTTTAGAAGTTTACTTTGTGACTTCAGGAAAATTATTTAACCTAACTGGGCCTCAGTTTCCTGGTCTGTAGTGAGAGGTTGAACTAAATGACCTCTAAGGCCCCTTAATACTGTTCATTCCCTTGATGAGTCCTTACCACCACATCCACAGTTCCCACAGACGCCTTAGCCAACAAGCTGTTTGGTGCCCCTGAGCCCTCAACCATTGCCCGATCTCTGCCAACCACTGTCCCAGAGTCGCCGAATTACCGTAACACCAGGACTCCTCGGACCCCCCGGACCCCCCAACTCAAAGATGCAAGCCAGACATCCCGATTTTACCCAGTGGTGAAAGAAGGACGAACGATAGACGCCAAGGTGAGAGGCTTCGATCCAATTCAACCTCAGTTTTAAATGAAATTAAATAAAAAGCATTTGTTAATCATTTATCTTGTCCTAAGCATTGTACTAAATGTTGAGGATACAAATACCGAAGTGAAAACAGTCCCTCAAGGAGCTTACATTCTAACAGGGAGAGGTTATGTACAAGGGAATGGGGAGCTGGGGTGGGGGGAGGGAGTTAGAAGGATAGTGAATGGAGCTATAAGAGATAAGATTGGTCTACACTTTACAAGAGCACTGGCAGTAGTGATTGGACTTAACTTGAAAGAGTGGGGAGAGCACAGACGGGGATAATTAGGTTCAAATCCTACCTCTGGCACTTAAAAGCTGTGTGACCCTGGGCGGGTCACTTAATTTCTTTGGAAATTTTCCTCAGTTTTCCTTTGTAAAATGAATACAGTGGTAGCTAACAGCACTTGTCTCAGGCTAGTTATGATACTTAAGTAACATATATAAAGTATTTTGTGAACTTCATAGTGTTCTACAAAATGTTTTATTTTTCCCTCCTAATTCAGCCTGTGGCTGCTCACTTCTGCAGTACAGCAGAAAGTGATTTGGGATTGAGATATTCCTGACAAACCGTGTGTGACCTTGGATTATGCGTTTATAGTCTTGGGCTCCATTTTCTCCATTTGAAATGGAGGTGTTCTGAGGACCAAAATTATCTTAAAGCAGATACAATTTAAGGCCCTCAGAAGACTCACGACTTTACTAGCTAAATTAATTAATAATAAATCCTGGAATAACCTCTTACAGATGCCCCGAAAAAGGAAGACACGGCATAGTTCAAATCCACCCATGGAGTGTCATGTGGGATGGGTCATGGATTCCCGTGAGCACAGGCCCCGGACAGCTTCCATCAGGTATTTTGAAGTTAGAGGCAAGGCTGTGGGAGGGGTATTCTTTGAGAGAGACACAGGCATCTGGGATGATAGAGTATCCACGTAGGTGAAAAGAGATTGCAGAGAGGCACCTCTTTTATCTAGAAGGAAGGGTAAAGACTGGGAAGGTATTTGATCAGAGTCTGAAATCAGGAAGGGACTAAGAGGATGGGCAAGAAACTACTGATCAAATCTTAGACACTAGGGATAGGTGACTGCCCTTTGAATTCTGAAGGAAGTGGCTTTATTTCAGATAAGAAAAAGTAGCATTTTACATAGTGGAGGTAGAAGTTAGGGAACTCTTATTCTAAGTGATGGTACGGGCTAGAAATATAAACAGTTTCATGAAGAATTCTGAATTTGTGAATCAGGTATACTCTATGTTATTAAGGGATGTTATATGTTTGAAAAAGTTCCTAACTCTTTGAGATCATGCTGGGAGAATAAGGTAGCCCTTTCTTCCATGCTGCCATCATCAAGGCTAGTTCAGGGTGTTGGCCCAGAAGAACCATGCCTCTAAGCTAAGAAGAGGCCATTGGAATGTGTTCATTCATTTAACAGACATCAAGTACTGATAACATACAGTGCACTTTGCTAGGTACTCAGGTAGGTAAGACATAGAGCTCATACTCTAGTAGGGGAGAGAAGACGTGAAGGATATAAAATTCTTTGGGATGAGTTTAGGAGGGGGAGATCACTTAACAACTGGGGACTGACTGGTGGGGATCCATGAGGACCACAGTGCACATAGTAGGCATTTCAGAAATATTGCATTATATTGTAACTTTGACTTTGTGTGATGTAAAGAGCCTTGGACTTCTATCTCTGACACTAACCAACTCTCTTAATAGTTAACTTGACTTTTCTGAAGCTGTTTCCTTTCTAAAATGTGGAAGTTGGGATAGGAATGGTCCTGAGTCTGTGGATGTGAGGGTTAAGTGTGTTTGGGCCTGGAGAGAGAGGCAGGCCTTCCAGAACGAGGAACAGCATAAACAAAGGTGAAAAGACAGCGAAGTTTGCTGTTGGTGGTTCCTGGAGCACAGCCTCAGGTCCTCCCCTAGGAAGAAAGAGAACAGTTTTAAGAGGCTGAGGAGAATGTGGGGTAATAAGGCAAGTCGTATATGTTGGTTCCCACAGCTCCAGCCCCTCTGAGGGCACGCCAGCTGTTGGCAGCTATGGCTGCACCCCACAGTCACTACCCAAGTTCCAGCATCCTTCCCATGAGCTGCTCAAAGAGAATGGCTTCACACAACATGTCTACCACAAGTATCGTCGGCGCTGCCTTAACGGTATGAGACTAGAACTGTGGTTGAGGAAGAGAGCAGCGTGAGTCAGTCCACCGGGTGCCAGGCCCTGTGCTAAGTGCCAAGAATACAAAGAAAGGCAAAGGACAGGACTTGACCCCAAGGAGGGAGAGAGACAACGTGCAGAACTATGTACATACAAGATAAATACCAGATAAATTGGAGATTGTCAACAGAGGAAGGCACTAGTATTAAGGGGAATTGGGAAAGTCTTCTTATAGAAGGTAGGATTTTAACTGGGTCATGAAGGAAAACGGGGGACAGAGGTGAGGGTTATTCTCTAGCTATTAGGGAGTAGGAGGGAGGTGCTGTCCATCTCTGTCTGGAGGAGAACCAGAAAAATTGCATTGGCATTGCAGCAAGAGAGGTGCAGTTCAAACCGGGTCCAGAAGGAGAGTGGACCTTGGTGTGCTGGGGACACTCCTTTTTTCCCTGATTGGCTAAGGCTGTGGGTGTGTGTGGTGGGGTGTGGTTAAAAGGACCTTAGAGAGATCTCTTCTGATTTAGGCTAGGGTGGGAGGCATGGATGGGGTGTGGGCAGTCAAGATGGTAGTTGGGAACTGGCTGTCTCCTCATGCTGTGCTCCAGCAGAACCGTTACCCTAATCCTTTATCCTCTTCCCCTGCTCACAGAGCGGAAACGGCTAGGCATTGGCCAGTCCCAGGAGATGAATACCCTTTTCCGTTTCTGGTCCTTCTTCCTCCGGGATCACTTCAACAAGAAAATGTATGAAGAGTTTAAGCAGCTGGCTGTGGAAGATGGCAAGGAGGGTTACCGGTGAGATGGCAAGCAGAAACTTAGCTGTGGATTAGGCAAAAAAAGGAAGGAAGCTAGGAGAGGAGGATTTGGGGGTTGCTCAAGCACCTTGTATTTATATAGTGATTTAATTCAGCAACTCTTAATGAAACATGTGCTTGCTCTACTGTATAGAAGGCCCAGTGCTGGGAGAAGTGTTCCCTGCCTTCAAGGTGCTTGCTTGGACCATGCACAGATAACTATAATACGTTAGATTTCATAAAAAATTCTGCTTCACCACAACATTCATTCTCTCACGTCCTGTTGAATAATAGGATTTTAGATTTGGAAGGGACTAACCTAATCCAGGCCTTTCCCGCCAAAAATTGAACCTAAATTTGCCTTTTTGCAACTTCTGCCCCTTATTTCTGCTAGATAGAGTCTTAATTCTTCTACCTAATACCCCTACTAAGACTTGAAGACAGCTCTCATGACTTGAAGGTTTAACTACAGTTCTTTCAAAGTATACTCATACCACATTAACACAAGGTCCTTCATTAACATTGCAGTGTTGCCCTTCCTGTATCAAAGAATTATAACTTTAGAGCTGAAACTTTAACTCTAGACTTTTAACTCTAACTGAAACTAACTTGAGGTCATCTAATTTAATCCCCTCATTTATAAATAAGGATACAGAGGCTCCAAGTGAAATGACAGGCCTAAAGTTACACAGCTAGTCATGGGTTCATCCTAAGTATCCATCTGTATACATAGGGGATTTTCTTTTATCTCATCAGAAAGATTGTAGTGGAGGCAGCTAGGTGGTGCAGTGGATACAGCACTGGCCCTGGAGTCAGGAGGACCTGAGTTTAAATCTGGCCTCGGACACATAACACTCACTAGCTATGTGACTAGGCAAGTCACTTAACCCCAATTGCCTCATCAAAAAAGAAAAGAAAGACTGCAGTGTACTATTGTGGAAAGAGCATTTGGATTTAAAGTTAGAGTACATGTGTTCCAAAGTTATGGCTCTGCTACTTACTTGTATGTTAATTGATTTACCATCTGCCTGGGCCTGGATTCCTCTTCAATAAAATGGGAGGCTTGAACCTTGACCTTCAAAGTCCTTTCCTCTTTTTATCTGTGCTCCTGTGATCTGTGCTTCTGTCTCTGACATTCACTTTATCATCAAGTCAACCTCTCTGAGCCTCACTTCTCTTACCTGTAAAAATTGGAGTAATGATACCTATATCATGGGTTTGTTCCCTCTCCCACCCATTTCCACCTTTTGAAGTAGCACTTGTCTTTCAGAGGCCTCGGTCCAATATTCTTTGCCTTGAGCAAAATCCCTTCCCCTCCACAAACAAGAAGTGATTCTGCCCTATAGGAACCCATCACATAGCTTTATAAATCTCGAGTTCTTGCATATTTTTACTACTAATGATTTTTATTTTATTTCTTCCCTCACAACTCTGTCAAGTTATGGGCCACATTAGTTTTCTTTGTCTTCCACTATACTTAACTCAAGGCCTTGCTCATTAAATGTTTGCTGATTTGATTCTTAGAGGGGAAAGTGATGCTGTCCCATTTCACAACTGAAAAAACTGAGGCCTAATTTATGTCTTCTGCTCTTTTATAGGTATGGTTTGGAGTGCCTTTTTCGATATTACAGTTACGGTCTGGAAAAGAAGTTCCGACCAGATATATTCAAGGATTTCCAGGATGAGACTGTGAAGGACTATGAAGCAGGTAGGGAACTCAGAGTGGACTCTTGAGTTAGTGGGTTGGGGGAAAAGAGGGATCAAGAGCCCAGGTCTCTAGATTTCTTGAGACTTTTGAGTCCACTTGATCAAAGGTCTAGGCTAGCATATGGCCAGATTCCCCTGGAGTCAAGCCTGCAGGCTCTCTAGGCCTTGCCAGTTCTAAACCTTTTGTCTTCCCACAGGGCAGCTGTATGGGCTGGAAAAGTTCTGGGCCTTCTTAAAATATTCCAAAGCCAAAAACTTGGATATTGACCCCAAACTTCAAGAATACCTCGGCAAATTCCGACGTCTAGAAGACTTCCGAGTGGATGTGAGTGAATTTTGCCACCTCTCCCCACCCTGGCATTACTCTGTGTGTGTGTGTGTGTGTGTGTGGCTGCTCTCTTGGTCACTGGATTGTAGCTTGGAAGCTAAAAGGATTGTTAGAGGCCTTGTAGACCAACCTCTCATTTTATAAATTGAGGATAGGGAGCCCCAAAAAGTTAAATGACATACATGCCCAAGGTCACACAAGTGTCAGGGCCAGGATTCATGCCCATGTCTTGACTGAAAAATTAGTGCCCTTTTTATTGTACAGCTTATCAATGTCCTTTCTAGAATGTGATGCATAGAACTAAGTGCTGTGTTCCAAAGGTTGTCTGCCTGAGCCGAGCAGTCTCTTGGCCTTCATTTCCTTGCCTAGAGGTTGGACGGAATGATTTCTGAGTCTCATCCAACTCTGTTCTCTGAAGGTCCATCCTTTCTGAGTCTCTGACATCATGCCATCTATGCCCGTCCCTATCTCTGTGAAAATGCCCCAACACTGACACCCAGTGGTTGGTCCTGGTTATTGTAATTCAGTCTGTCTAGGGAACCCAGATTCTCTCTGTCCTTTTGAGGTTGCTAGCGAAGTTGAGTGATAGCGCCACCTGTGGCGTTGCACATGAGACTAGGTACATAGAGGCAGAAAAGGGGAGAGTGTTTTCAGGAATTGTATAGTCCAGTTAAGGGGAGAGAAGACTTAGGTGCCGAAAAGTACAAATAAGTTACCTTTCAAAGATGTAGGCTGAGACAGATGCACTTGGAGGCAAGTGTTTCTGCTTGTAACCCTTGGGATTTCATGGATTTCAAGCATCAAGCTAAAGACATATAGGTTTCTTCCTGCAAGGCGTTATGACTCTTACGATTATTAAACTTGAGTGAGACCCTTATTCTAGTGCTGAAGCTTGAATGAACCCCAAAAGGTGTTTAGTGGGGTCCCAAGGAAAGGGGGTTGGCTGTAGACTGACACTTCTCATAGGGCTGCAGGGTTAATAGTAATCTCAGTTGATTTTTTATAATGTTTCTGTGAGACAGGAAACAGTGGAGCTGTTATTATATCTGTTTTACAAATGGTGGAGCTGAGATTTGGGGCTTAAATAGCTTGCCAAAGGGTACCCACAAAATGAAAGTGTGGGCTGGAAACATAAATATAGAGCTGAGAGGGACTTTTGATAGCATCTTCTAGTCCAATCCTATATAAACATAAGAAACAGACTCAGAGAGGTTAAGAAACTTGGCCAACATCAGATTCCTAAACGATAGTGCTAGGATTTGACCCCATGTCCTTTGACACCAAATTCAGGGATATATAATGTATATATACACATACGTGTGTGTGTGTGTGTGTGTGTGTGTGTGTGTGTGTATGGAGAGAGAGCTTCTCATTGGATCGGGAGCTAGAAGGGACCTCAGAAGTCATCAAATCTAAACCCTTTCACAGTTTGCCCAAGGTCTTCACAGGTAATAGGCTCCCAGTCTGTGATTTGAACCCATGTTCTCTTGATTCTAGAACCAGTGCTTTCTCTTATACTGTGCTTGTCTCCACTCTGGGTGATATTGCCTTGAATGAGGAAACAATGGGAAAGGGGGCATTAGTTGTACCCCAGTCTCATGTTGGTCCCGTATCCTTTCTGTTTCAGCCCCCCATGGGTGAGGAAGGCAGCCACAAGAGGTACGCAGCGCCGGGAGGAGAAATCAGGAAACGGTATCCGTCCCAGTCTTCCAGCAAACCGGCCACAGCACCCAGCCAAACCCATGTCCCACTTGCCAGCCAATCTGCAAGGGAAGATGCCAAAATATCAAGCCAGCCCTCAGACATACAGACTTTGGGAAAGTGAAGGGCTGTTTCCCACCTGGACTTGGGGAAGGAAGGGGACATAGAAGGTCATGAGAATGGAGAGGTTGGAATGAAGGTGGACAATCCAAGAACAGGCCACTGCAGTGCACGCAACTTGACAACAAGAGACTGGCTTCTGGCCACTGTGATGACCCATCAAAAGGAGACTCCCATCCCCACCCCTCCCTTTCCCTCACAAGTCTTCATGTCTTAGCTTATTCAGCCCGGGGTGGGAAGGGGAGAGTTTGAGAGAGTTATAGAGATATATATATATAGATATATATATATGTGTGTGTGTGTGTATATATGAGTCTGTGTGTATATCTATATGAGAGATACAGATGTACACACACACGCATATATGTTGTTTTAAATTATTGACAGAATTTCGTCCATATTACCAAAATAACTCTTCAACCCTACAGCTGGCAGCCCATGGCCCCTGCTACCTGGTCCCAGAGACTTTTTCCTCTCTTCTTCCCCATCAGTTCTACTATGCAGCCTGCACAGAGCCCTAGAGTGCCATCCCATCAACCCACCCCATGCTGGCGTTATCCTGTGGAAACTGCCAATCACGGTCAAGCGGAGACTTCTCCCATGGGGGAGCTATGGACCTGCCTGGCTCCTCGGAGAATGATCTACACCTTCATCTGGTGGCCTTTCCCACCATTCTTAGTCCCTTCCCCCAGCCCCTTCCCAAGCCTCCCATCCCTGCTTTGCCCTTCGGACCTGCAGACCTTGGAGGAGGAAACCAAAGGATCCAGCCTGGGGCTGGCCCAGCGAGTGGCTGCTTGGGGAGGGAAGGCAGGGCCCTCCCTCTCTCTCATATATACTTTCCAATCCCTAACCCCTCCCCAAGCCCGGAGAGACGCTGCTCACTGAAGAAGAGAACCTGTTAAAAGATGATTTATTTTATTTTACTTTTCTGTCCCTTGAAAAATGACAAAAAAAGGACAAAACTTACCACAAAAGACCAAAAAAAAAAAAAAAACCCCACCCCAACCCCAAGCCACAAAAAGCGACTTCTTGCCCTTTGTTCTTTTGTCCTTAAAAATATTTAAAAAAGTTGCCTTATTGTGGAGTGGGGATTTGACACACACACATGCCTGTTTTCCTCTGTGGAGTCAGAAACCTGGCCTGGGATCACAGACTAAAACTGACTTGACATCAGGAGTTCTTGCTCTGGTCCTTGGCTGGCTGGATATAACTGAGTTTCAATGGGCTGGAAATCTTGGAACTGAGATATCACCTGCACAGCATCCTTCTCCCCCTGCCCCCCACCCCCTGTGGCTGGAAAGGAGAGCCACAGCTGTGGAGGGGGTGGTCGCCCTGGATACCTGCTGATGCATAGTTTGAAGCTGACATTCTGTGTATGTACTGTGCTGTTGTCACGCCGCGTGCCCCCCCCCCATACACCCTGCCTTTTTTTTCATATACCTCCCCCCAGGGTCCTGAACATCTGTTGAGAGGAGATGTGGGCCCCAGGATGACACCCCCACCCCCCACCTCCCCATCCTCTTGATTTCGATCAAGGAAAGTGGCATCATGGGTGCCGGAGAATCAACAAGCTCTAGTCTTGTGTCAGCTCCTGCCTTTTGAACTCCATGTGCTTCCTATGGCAGTAGGGGGTGGGGGCAGAGTATATTCTCCCCGGTTGCTGGGGTGGCTAGAGGGGTGGGTTGAACTGGCCATAGAAGACAAAGTTTTCTTTGTCCTTGTCCCCAATTGCTCCCATCTCCTGGAAATAGTCCAGTCTGTTGAAGTCTGGAGCCATGGAGTAGGCTTTGGCCTCCCCTAGAAGCCAAGAGATTTCTTCTCTACTGTGTTTCTCACGGTACATATGTATTTGGCCCCTGCTACTTGTCCTCTGCCTAGTTCCCTAACTCCGTATCTGCTTGGCCCTTGGCTACCCCGCTCCCCAAGGGAAAAATGTGGCTATATTTGTGTATGTGTCAGGGGTGGGGGAGTGTTATAAAAGTCAGAATTGGGAGGGAATCTCCCAGGACAGACCTCCCCAGCCATGTAGTAAAGGTTACACGTGGACCTGATGCTGTAGCAGCCACTTAGCTGCTAACCATTCGTCAGGTCTCTGGGTGATGATGGAACTAAAAGAATGAGTGGAGCAGCCTTCTACCATCATGAGCAAAGGTGGGTGATGGGTAGCAATTAGGTCCCTTCATAATCAGAGAAGAGTGGAGGAAAGGAAGCACAAAGGGAAGTGAATGTCTTGAGCACTTTCAATCTTACTGTTAAGTTGCCATCTCCCACCCCCACTTTTTCCCCCAGGCTCTAGAGTTTCATCTTCCTTTCTAAGTCCAAATCAATATGTGGAGGGTAGGAGACCACTTAGTAGCAAGCCATTGATAGAATTAGCCTCTATTGCCCATTGTTGGACTGGAACTAGCTTTTCTGCTAAAGGGGCCTGAAATAGCACCCCAAGTTTTATTTTGTTGTTAGCTGCTCCCCCACTCTAAAAGCATCTTAGGTTTTGTCCTTTTTGTTATGTGTGACCCAGGAGCTGGTCTGTAAGCTCCTCCAGCTCTCTGGGGGCTCAATCACGTCTGAGGCAGCAGAGTTGGCAGTGGAGGCGAGTTTGCCTAGCCTTCACCAGGGCAAGGGTTTCTGAGGCCCCCTTGCCCTGGTCTGGTGCTTGCCTTGGCAATGGACTCCACTGGGCATTTACCCCCAACTTTATCCTTCCCTCCTTTCAGACTGACTAGCCCTGGTACTGTATCTCTGATGCCACAGCAACCTCAAAAGCTCAGTCCTCTGCCATACTTGGGGTTGGAAAGAGGGAGGGCCAGGATGAGCTAGAGGCAGGGTAGCTTCCCACGTCAGCCCTCCTACAGTGGCTGGATACCCAGGTTGCCTGCTGGGATTTCCCTGTGACTGCCTCACAGTCTACTTGGCTCAAGCTCCAGTTATCTGGATTCCGCCCTTGAGCCCATGGTGGGAGTCTTGTGAGACTACCCTCTTTGGTCTCCCTGACTCTCCTTACAAGGAAACTCCCTAAAAGAATGTTTTCTGGGTGGGTATGTCAGCACTACATCTCAGCTCACAGGTGGGGTTGGGTGGGGGGAAATTTTTTTTTAATGTTTTAGGGGTTAATGTTTCAAAGAGTAGTTTACATGTTCACTTTCTGAAGACACTTGAATCTAGGACCGACTTATCTGTGACAAGCATGCCGGGGCGGGGGGGGAGGCTAGGACCTCCAGGCCTGCCCTTCCATCTCCCTTCAAGGACCCCAAGACCTGAGTCACAAAGCAGCTCTTCGTTTCTTCCACAGTCCCCACCCACCCCATCCTCTACCCCATACAAAACAAAAAGTCGTTCTGTGTCCTGGATGGTTTCGTTTATTTTCCTTAGGTTGGCTTGTTCCAGTAAGAACTTTGGTATTAGCCTCTGAATAGTGCCTCTTGTCCATTCCACCCTCTGCTCTAGTTTGGCAACTGCTAACCTTCCCTCCTGGTTTGTCTTTTGGAGAAGATGCACTACCAATTCAGATATTCCTCCATCCCCAGCCTGGTCATCTGTGACTCAGACATGGATTGGTGCTGAGCCCTCTTGGGAAAATTTTGTTTCATTACATTGTAACTCTTCCCCTTTCTTGAAATTTTGCTTTTGCAACAGGAAAAAAAATCCCTGGCTGCTCAGAGAAGGGGGAAGCCTGCCCACCTGGGGCCAGGGATACAGGGGTAGAGGGGACAAGCAGGGGCCAGTGACTGAGCTACACATGTATAACTTCACCAGAACTCGGGCAGAGAGCTTTGATAGTATGGCTCCTCCCAAATTGGAATCCATTGTCGTCCCAGGTCAGAAGGGGATCACTTGACTTCCCCCTCAAAAAAAAAAAAAAAACTGCACCCCTCTTCAGCCATGTTGATGGTAAAGGCAAAACTCAATAGCCTGTTTCCCCACCAGAGAGGAAAACGTCGTCCAGCTTTGCTGTAAAGGACCCACCTTTCCCTGATAGGACATAATCTTACCATGTGCTAGAACATCACATTTAAAAGGACAAAAAAAAAATGTAAGATACTTGAATGAGCTTGTATTATAACATTAATATTATTCAGAGTATCTGCTTTCCAGGCTGATGTGATTCATTCATTATTCTAGTAACGCTTTAGTCCTTTGTAATTTGTGGTAATTATGCTTTTTCCTTTTTAATACAAAAAAATGTATAAAAATAAAAATTTCAAAAGACCATCATGGTGGCTGCTTTCTCCCACCCCAGAATGGGAGTAGGGATTGGTTTGGATTGGGGGTGACGGATAGAAGGATGGAGAGCTGTTCCTGAGCTGGAGAAAGCCAACCACAGGGCAGGAACTAGGAAGACTGTTAAAGTAGAGATTGAATACAAAAGATGGTTTTTGTAGGCAGGTTGAGTTGCCCATTGGCAGCAGCGATCAGGGAAGTGTGTCTGTGTTTTATGTGGTCATATAAGATGTGCTGTAATGTGCAGTGGCCAAGTTGAGGGAGTGAAACATGGTGGGAAATGGGCATTTCTCCCCTTGTATCCACTTTTCCTCCATATCTTTCAGTTCTGAACTTTGCTCTTTTGGGAAGTATGAGGTGGAGAACTTGAAAATAACATCGAAGAATCTTAAGCCTGCCTGTACCTTTATTCCTGTGCCGTGAGTGTTGGGGTGGCTGATATTGTACCAGTTAGAGTAACAGGAACCTCAGAAGGGATATTTATGATTAGTTCTGTCTGTAGTCTGTTTGAATGAGTTGGCATAGTTGAAATGGATACCCTTTTTTTTATAACATGGACCCATTGACTTTTCAAAGGCCCCAATGATAGCCTTATGGCAGGAATCCAGGAGCTAGAAGGACATTAAGACATTCCATCCAGCCTCCTTCCCTTCTGACCAATCAATGCCCAAACCACAGGCAGTGATTTCGATGGTGTTATTGGCAGCCATGGGTGAGGTCAGAGAAGAATCAAGGCAAAGAGAGGGTTACCAGACATACATCTGACACTGTCTTATCCTTGTTTAGAAGATGGGAAAAGGTGAGCAAGATGACAATACAGTTATGAGTTAGTAACTGGTTGGTTAATCAAGTATCAAATTAATAGGCTGTATTTCAACTTGTGGGGTATCTTTAGAAGAGTGCCTCAGGGGTTTTGTCTTTGGTGCCTGTGTTTAATATTGTTTATCAGTGACAGGAATAGAGTATAGGTGAGGATGATGGAAAGATAGCTGCAATGTTGGATGACAGAAGCAAGATCCCGAGGTCTTGACAGGCTAGACTGGTTGGCAAAATCTGCTATGTTGACAGGTAAATGTAAAATTCGGTTAAAAAAAAAATCAATTTGTTGGGCAAACAAACGGTTCATGTTACTTCTAGTAGCATGTAAGCTCCTTGAGGGCAGGAATGGTTTCATTTTTGTAACAGCCCCCACCCCACCATGTAATATGGTACCTTCCTACTTTTTTGTTGAATACAGGGGAAAAAAAAAAGACCGTGGAGTCATAGTGGACTAGATAGAGTATCGTATTCAGTTCTGAGTGCCATGTATTAGGAAAGGCATTGATTGATACAAGAGATCCAGGATGGTGAAGGCTTGAAATCAAGCTCTTCAAATACTAGTTGAATGAACTGAAGTGGTTTAGTTTGGAGAATAAAAGGTTTTGGCTTTTAGCTATCTTCACATGTTGGAAAGACTGGGGATGAAACTTGTTTTACTTGGGCTTGTAGAGTAAAATTAGAACAACAGATGAAAATTGGCTCAGAACTGCCTAACTGGTTGTTCAGAAGTGGCATGGACTGTTTAGAAAGGCAGTGAGTTGCCTCTTAACTTGAAATTCTCAAACAGAGGCTAAGTGACCATTTTAGGAAAGAATATGATAGAGGGGAAGCAACTAAGTGGCTCACTGAGCTTAGAATCAGAAAGACTCATCTTCATGAGTTCAAATCCAGCCTCAGACACTTATTAGTTATGTAACCTTGTTTGCCTCAGTTCCTCATCTGTAAAATGAGTCAGAGTAAGAAATGGCAAACCACTCCAATATCTTTGCCAAGAAGATCCCAAATAGGGTCACCAAGAATTGGATGCAACTGAACAACAACATACAGAGGATCCGTGTAATTAGGGTTTGGAATGGATGATTTAAGAGAGGCAAGGAGGGATACAAGGGCCAAAAAAAGAAAAGGAGAGCCACATGTTGGATGATCTGCTGATAAGACCATAGTTTGCCTGCTCATTGATCGTCTACATCAGTGGTAGAAACAGGGGCCACTAAACTATACATAAAGATCTCTGCCAGTGCATGTTGACTTAGAAAACCACATATTAACATTATCTGTGTTATTTTGTGTTTATTTTGTTAAAATATTTCCCAATTACATGTTAATCTGGTTCTAGCAATGCTCAGTGTTGTTCACAATATGTTTAACATACCTGATCTACATCAGTCTTTTTCCTAGTATGGTTCACAAGGGAATTAAAATGTGGGGTGAATAACATGTGACATCTGAACTTTGGTTTCTAGCATGACAAATGACTACCCCTGTGGGCCTCACTCATTATGCCAGGTAAATTTTTCAAAAAATTATTTTAAGACATTACTTTGAAAGTATTTTAATTGAAGGAAATAAGATTTATATCCCCATCACTCTCTTTGATATGAGTGAAGCATCATTGCAATCATCTCTCAAGTTTTACTAAGGGCAGATTTTGGGAATGGGGAGCATAGCCTGTGGTAGGATTAATGTGGCAGTTAAAATTCAGTAGTTCAGATTTAAGTGTGTTATATTGGAAAGTGTGGCATACTGGGAAAACATTTGAATTTGGAGTTAGAAGACCTGGATCTGAGTCCCATCTCTGCCACTTCTTAAATATATGACTTTGAGCAAGGTCCTTACCTTTTCAGTCTGTTTCATCATCTGTAAAATGGGGATACTACCACTTGCCTGGGGGCTGGGGCCTGCTGTGGGGAAAACTTCTTATAATCTGTGATCTAAAATTAGGCCAGTCTTGCTGTACATCCTCGAGAGTTAGAGGCTGAGTGCTCTGTGGGTGTGGTGTATGGGAGTAATCAATGGAAAAATAAAAAGTTTGTTAACTGTTGGTTGAAACCACTGCAAGCCCAACTGAACTTTGGGGATGCTTTGGTATAGTGTATCGTGAAGATCACTGAAATCTTGGTGGCCAGTTTGTAATCTTGATAATGGAGGATAATTTCAGCGGCCTATAGTGGAGAGGACAGAAGAGGGGGAAGATATGGGCTAGAGTCAGGGGATTTTCCTGGCTTTTTCCCCTATATTTCTCAGTGGTCTCCTGAACTTGTTGGGCTGTTATGTGGAGAGAGGATAGCACTTTATAAATCCAAACCTACATAGGCATGAGTTGCTAGTATAATTCCTTCTGCAGGTCATTAACACCTCGCTGAGATCTTCTGAGGGGAAGGACAGCAGGGGGAGGGAAAAGGAGGAAGCCTCCATAGTACTTTCTCCCCCTTTTTCATTAAGGTATTGAGGTTTACCTTGGAAATCGAAGAAACTGGGCTGGGCTGGGGGTGGGGGGGGTGGGAATTCTCTATGTACCCACCCCCATACACCCCCTTTCCCTCACACTTCAACCATTACTTCTATCATGTGTTTTGAAGACCAGGATTGCTGTAATTAAAAAAAGGAAAAACACTGGTCTTAAGAATCAGAAGACCTAGCTTTCAGTCATAGCTTTTACATTTTGTGACCCTGAGCAAGTCACTTTTTACTCCTGAGCCTCAGTTTCTCCATTGTAAAATGGGGATAATTCTTGTACTGCAACTCACAGGTTTGCTGTGAGGAAGGAAGGCACTTTGTAAACATTAATGCATTCACTATTTAAATGTGAGCTTTTTTGCACACAGGTGCTGAATAAATGGTTGAATTTTTTAACTGAACTGAAAGTACCTCTGAAGTTTTTTTTTTTTAATTGTTTTTATTTGCAGGCATAGATTACAGAGGATGGAAGGACAGCAGCCCCAATCTCAGAGTGGTAGCCTGGGACTAAATGCAAGTGGCCCAGCTTTTAGCTGGGGGGTACTTTGAGATACTCTTGAAAGGATCCTTGGGAGACAGCTGAAGAGGATCTTCTCTGGCCATGATAAGCAAAGGGCTTACCATGTCCTGGGGAGTGGGAGGGTAGGAAAGGTAATGAACTTTGAGAAATTTGAGAGAGCATGGTACAGTGGAATGAGCCCTGGATTTGGAGTTAGAGGACCTGGGTTCAAATCTCAGCTCTGCCAATTACCACTCCTATGACTGGACAAGTCATTTTTTCTGGGTCTCAGTTTCTTTATCTGTAAAATGAGGGAATTGGGCTCAGTAATCTCTAAGGGCCCTTCCAACTCAATCTTACCATTACATAGGCTCACCCTGCTAAAGACCCAACTATAGGGTGAGAGGCAAAGAGCTGGGTGTCAAACTGGTTCCTATCTTAAATTCACTTCAGCAGCTACAGGGTGTTCTGGGGCTGGTGCAGGGCCCCTTTTTGGATTTGTTTGCGTCTATGGGGAGGGTTGTGATAGGCAAGGGGTTTCTGCTTAGGATTTCAGCTGCTGTCTTAGGTGCTCAGTGAAACCTGTCTCTAGGAACTGAGGGGAAACTGAGAACATACCATTGTTCTGACTGGCTGTGCACCAAGGACTAAAACCTTTGGATACTATCCCTTTGAAAGTATCATGTCAGGGGTACTATGACCAGGGCATCTTTGGGGCTTTCTTCTGCCACTCAGCTGGGCAGCCAGGGCTTAGTGCTGGGGTTTATTCTAGCTTCTTTGCTATCTTGGGTCATGAACCTAGGGGATGCTTTTTGGGTCAGAGTTTTGAGGATTGCTCAGGACCTGAACTGGAGGCCTTGTTCTTCTATTTAAGAGAATATCTTCCTGATCTCTTGGCATCCATCGTTGATGTAGTGGCTCTCCTATTTATTTAACCTGTGGGACCTTGGCCAAGTACTTCTCTCTGGGCCTCAGTTTCTTTATAAAATGTGGTGGTTGGACTAATGTCCTTTCTCTAAATCCCATGTTCCTGTGATTGAGTCTGTTCAGGGCTGATAGAGAAGAGGTAAAATCAACCACTTTCTCAACTTAGAACCTGAAAAACAAGAAGGCATGGTGGCCATCTCATTTTCCCCTTTTCCTCCCTTCCACCTTTCCTTCTTCCACCTTACCACTGGAAAGGCTTCCCATGGCAGTTTCTAGCAGCTAAGAGTAACCCTGATGTAATGTCTGACTGCAGTAAGCCTTTCATCTAGTCTTGATAGACTGTTAACAAAATTTCCCCTTAAATTGGGGTTTAGGGGCATACCTTCTTTTCTCCCTCCTCAGCTCTGCTCTTATAATCTTAAGGGAACTTAAGAGGGCATCGAGTCATATTTAAGCAAGAGTTGTTCCCCAAGTAGTTATCCAGACTACACTTGAAGACTTTAGGGCTGGGGAACTCACTATCTCCTAAGGCAGTTCATTCCACTTTTGGAAAGCTCAAATTGTTAGGAAGTGTTTCCTGACATTAAGCCTGAATCTGCCTCTCTGTATCTTCCATCCATTACTCCTAATTCTAGCATGACAAATCTAATCACTTTTCCACGTGACAGCCCTTAAAATATAACTAGGACATCTTTCCTCAAGTCTTCTCTGGACTCAACATCCCTTGTTCCTTCAACCAGTCCTATCTAACATGGCTTGTAGTCCTCTAATAATCCACTCTAGTCAATCCATAAGTGAACCCATCAGTGGGGCTGGGAGCCCAACCCATTGCCTTTTTGCTCTCCAGGCCCTAATGTTCCTCCTGCACAATGGTACTTCATGATCCCCACCCCACCATATTATGGCTGTTGGAAGATGTTCACTATGGCATAGCTCTGGGAAGAGAATTGGGGTTGGTACTGTCTCTAGCTCCTTTTTCCTGCTTCTCTAGGAAGCCATGTTCCTTCCCCTCATTCTGTCACAATCAGCCAGTCGTCAGGGAATCTACCTGTGTCATTAGAAAGTCATTTGGCAGAATTATTAGCTCTGATTTGTCAAGGGAGACATCCTAGGTCTAATGGGGACAGCCCCCTGCCAGAAGCAGTGGGGATGGGGGCCAGTTGCTCATGCCATCTCACTCTATCTTCTTGGGTGGGTCAGGGATGCTTTCAGAAAGAGGAGTAAGGTTCAGCAGCAGCATGTGTCTTTCGTAGGCCTTCGTCTGCTTGAATGTGTTGTCAGTCCCATGAAGATGGTCAAGTACCCCCAGCACTCCGTAGCACTGATTGAATCTGACAAGGGAGCAGAAATAGGGCTGCAGTTCCTATACCCAAATAATAACAAATCTCATTACATAGCATCTTATGGCTTATAAAGCACTTTCCTCAAAGTAACTCTGGAAGATAGAGAACACAATTATTCTTGTCCTCATTTTACAGAAGAGGCTCAAAGAGTAAACTGACCTTCTCAAAGGCACAAAGCTGGTACATCACAGCATTCAAGAATTGAAAGGGACTCCAGCAAGCATCTCATAACAATCTCGTGCAATCTTCATAGAAGTTCCTTCTGCATAGAATCTTTGCATTGGAAGAGACCCCAGAGAGTATCTAGTCCAATGCCTGCCCAAAGCAGCAATCTCCTCTGTTGAAAACGTCCAGGAAGTTAGGGGACTCATTTATTCACTCTCAAAGCAGTGCCATTTTTGGACAGGCTTGTATTGTGAGGATTGCATGAGATAAGAAATGTAAAGAACTTTGTCAGTGTAATTACTACTCATTATTTACCTTAAGGCTTCTCTCAAGAATCAAAATTGTGGGTGACCCTTGATGGGAGAGAGAGATGCATGGTGAAGAGGGAGATAGCCTGCAAATAGGATATTGCATGTTTTCGATAATGACTTGCACCAAAAGAGTGCCATGAAAGATGGCACTGGAATAAGCCAGTTATGTAGCCAGAGTAAGGGCTGGACAATGCAGGTTTTGCATTGATAACCTATGAGATGTTTAAAAGACTCTGAAGAAGGACTCTGGCTACAGAGTAGATTTTGTTAGGAATGATGTATTTAGGACAACACAAATATGAGTTGTTGATATTCAATTCAATCATTGGTATTTATTAACCATTTACTCCGTGCAAGGTGCTGTGGTGGGCACCAGGGAACCTTGTGATCTATATGGCTTTTCCAGCTTTGATTGTTTGTCACTTGGATGGTAAACAGCATGCTTTAGTCGAAGCAATAATAGGGTGCTAGTCCTGGCTCTGACACAAAACAGTTTTCTGTCTTTGGGCAAATTATTTGATCTCTCTGGGTTTCAATTTCCACAAGTTGGGGGTTAGATTAGGTGGTATCTAAAGTCCCTCTCTCCTCTAAATAAATCGTGTAATCTCTACTTCATTTCCTGTTTTAAGTCAAGGATCAAAGCTCCCATTTTGTGCCCCAATATGTGCCAAGTTGCCAGCCATTGAGGCTGGCTGCAGAAGACAAGAGTAGAAATTTCATATAGTGCAGATCCAGGCTAATCCCTAGGGTTAGGGAGTTCCTGAGGAGGACCTTACTTGAGGTGATGGTAGTCATGGAATTCCGGTGAAGGCAGAAAAGGCAGGTGGTAACCACAGTGAGAAATGGTGGTGATAATGAGAGCCAAGGAAAACCACATAGTGATGGAAGACAGGTGAGAGCCCATTACCATGGGACCCACCATGGCTGGTAGCATGTTCGAGACCTGCAGTTAAAAGACAGCTTTGTTTTGAGGAGCAAGGAGGGAGAAGTAGGGACTGCCATTATGAGAGGGAACAGTGGGGGCTAAAAGAAGAGACTTAGAGGTCTATGTGAGAAATATTTGAAGTTCAGTGGTGTGGAGGGTATATGCTGGGGAAACTGGGCATTGACTCTTTGCTGTCTCTTCAATCAGCCCCTCAAGACTAATTCTGCCTGATGGGGCTGTGGTGTTCGTAAGAGGATCCTAGAACATCAGCAGGTTTTCAGAGACTTAGGTCTGCTTGGATGATAATCCTGAGAATGGAGAAGGAAGGGTAGCTTAGAAATGAATTGGCCTTCCGATGCATCCTGGACTAAGGAACAAGGGGAGGGTAAAGCCAGTCTGCCTGACAAGTAAGGGTCTCTGTCTCTGTCCCTCCCCTAGACTAGGTGAGAAGGGAGTCACAGCCTGAGTCTCTGCTTACCACATGCTCTATAGGGTGAGCATAGAGAGAGACCACACCGATGGGGGCTGTCCACTCATGATGCTTCTTATGGAATCGCTTATAGAACATGGGGTGATGAAGAAGCCTGTAGTGAAAAGGAAATAATCATCCTTACCCTGCTTGATGAATAGCATGGAGGGACAGTAATAAGCCAAAGGATAGGAACTACTTCTGGAGGCATGCTTTTGATCTTTGTCCCATACTTCACAACTGAGGGACTCAAGAATGTTCCTGCAGCCATCCCAGGTAAGTGAGTTGGAGGTGGGGTCCTCATCTTATTTAGCATATAACAATTACCTGCACCTCTTTATTCCTTTAAGGTTTACAAAGTACTTTCCTCAACAATACTCCTGGATTAGTAACCCCATTTTTATAGATGGGAAAACAGACTCAGATAGGTGAAGTCGATTTCCCAGGGTCAATAATAAGTGTTAGAGATGAGATTCAAATCTCAGTTCTTCTTGGTTCAAATTCCAGAACTTTTCGTAGTCACAGTGGTCCCATGATGCTCAGGTCACAGGGAGATTGGTCCTAGACCAAGGACTTGGGCTTTTGTCTCCTAAGTTTTGACCTCGATCTCTGAATTTTAATTTCGTAATGTGTAAATGTGGCCCAGACAATGGTGAAGAAATCCATTCTTCCCCCTTCTCAACCCAGCTCACCGGTGTGAATAGTAGAACATGACTTCTTCTATCAGTATGAAGACAGACAGCTCCAAGAGGAACCAGTGAAAGGTGGGCAGCTCAGGGCGGCAAGGATTTTCTCGCCACTTGAGGAAGAGATAGCAGAGCCCCAGCATGGGGAGGGAGATGATGTACTGGTTGAGGAGGACTGTAACAAGGGCCTGGCAGAGTTTCATGGGGTCCACCTGTACCAGGAAAGGAACACTAATGAGTCAAGGTTTCAGTCTTTGGGTTGGGCCAGTCCAATCTGGCACAGGGCAGTGGGACAGGGGTAAGGACCTTCCCTTGTTTCCTTGGTAGGAGTCCTGTCCCACCCTGCTGATATAGCACAATGCCCTACAGATACCATTAAATATTTGGTGATGTTAATAATAATAATGATAGTTCATGTATGTATATCTTTATAATCTGAGGATTACAAAATGCTTTCTTCTTAACAACTCTGCAACATAGAAAGCATTCCTGTCCCTTTTTGAGGCCAGAGTGACCTGCCCAGATCAATCACAGGGTTCATCTGTAAGTGCTAGAGCTGGGACTCAAAGCCTTGTCTTCTGACTGCTACTTCTACTTTGCCATGGAAATCATGAATACCTAAAAAAGTCACTTCCAGTTCCATAGTTCTGTGATGGTTCCACCCTGAAAAGTGCTGGTAAATATTTAACAACTGGCTTTCCAGGGGGAAAAAAAGGTAGGCATAAAACATTTTTAAGTTCAATCTGCATTACTAATATTTTTTCCATTACTTTCTTAAGCCTAGACCAGAGGTGTCAAACTCAAATAGAAAGGGATTCCTGGCAGCCACTTACTGACTTAGAAAATCACAAATTAACATCATCTATGTCGTACTGCATTTTTGTTTTGTTAAACTTTTCCTAATTACATTTTTAGGTAGGAAGTTTTGTTGGCCCCTTGCTGTCTGTGGGCCACGAGTTTAATACCTTTGGGACTCTAGACCATCAACAAAGCAATAAATTGAGCCTTGATTTGTAGCAGTGTAAATGCTCACACTGAAAATTTAACAGTTTGTCTACATATGTATAACCTATATTGAATTGGTTGCCTTCACAATGAGAGGGGTGGGGAGGGTAGAAGGAAGAGAATTTGGAACTCAAAGTTTTAAAAACAAATGTTAAAAACTTTTTACATGTAACTGGGGAAAAATAAAATACTAAGTTTATGAAAAAAAAATTTAACAGTCTGCTCTCAAAAGGGGTACAAAATGGCTCTAGCACACCCCTGATTTCACCCATGGACATACGCAATTGATAGGCTCCTCACAGTCTCAGCCTGCTTTCCCTTACCAGTGCCACCAAGGCTGAAGTAGTTGTCAGTGTACTGCCAGGATGGTTTACCCCCTGACTAGAAGCCTGTCTCCCAAAAGTCTTCTGATACCTTCAGTCCCTGTGTAAACCTAGTTTTCCCCAAGGCAGGGTTTTTTGTTTTTTTTTTTAAGCTCTATAGATTTCAGACTATATCTTTGTCAAAGAGGAGGAGAAACAGGTACCTAGCACCCCACCCAGTGGGGAAAACAGGTTTGGGGAGGTCCCCAGCTATATCTCTCCTGCCAGCAGTTATCATAACAGTCTACTGGGAAAAGGTCCCAGGTCCCAGAGTAATGCTTCTTGTTTAACTCTTGTGAGCCTCATTCTGTTTTTGAACTACATAAAGTAAAAGCTGCCTCTAGTAGCCCAGTAGGGCCTCTAGCCACATGAGGGCTGTGTTCTTGGCTGAGTCCAAAACGGGTTAAAAAGAAAGTCAGGGCGTGTCTTGTCCAAGTGGGGATGAATCGCCCTATAAACTGGATTCTCATCACAACTGTACTATCAGGCAAAAGGTGCTGGACTTTTCTTTCTCTTAGAGCCTCATATCTGTTTTATTAGTCTGACACTACACACTCCCCATGTTCTTGCTCTTCCCTGGGTACCAGGGCACTGAGTGACAATGGAATTCACTGGGAGTCCAGAGGTCACCAGCTTTTCAACCCTCAACTAGTAAATAATGTTTGTTCTGATACCTATGTCCTACTAGGGATGAGAGTCAGGAGGGTTGAAGCGTCATGGAAAAACCAATGGTCTGAGAGTCAGTGGACCTAGCTTCAAATCCTACCACTCCTGTTTTCTGCCTGTGTGACCTTGGGCAAGTCACTTCTTTCTCATCTGTAAAATGAGGAGGTGAGAGTTGTATTAAGTGACCTTTAACATCCCTTCTAACTCTAAATCTTATGATCCAATCCTATTTTGAAACAAAAAGTCTGGTCACTAACGGTCTATGGTAGTTCTTTATACATGGGGCTTAGCTTGCCTTTTTTTGCAGCTCCACCACCCTACTGCTCTGTCCTACCTCTCTCCACCCCCAAAATGAATGAAGACCTCAAATAGTCAAAGTGCTGCTAGAAAGACTTACAGGATCATTCTTGCCATTTTGAATTCGGTAGCGGGAGATAAAATGTGGCTTCCCAGTTGTGTCTACCACCAAAAGAAGGGCATTAAAACTCCAAAATAATATGGTAGGAATAAGAACTGTACCTACAGTGAAGGAGACAAAGTAAGGGTTAATCAAAGCCAGCCCTACCTTAGCTAGCTCTCCACCCTACAACTTTGGCCCTTGCGGGGTTGGGCTATCTTTGAAGAAAAAGGCTGAATTTTCTGATTAACCAGAGAGGGCAAGAGGCTCTTTAAGCCTATTAGCCTAACACAAGAGGCTGTATTTTAGTTCCTTTGGGAGATATACCATTAAAGAGCTCTCCAGAGAGATTCTGAGATGAAGGAATGAATTGCTCCCTTTCTTGGACAATGTTTTCATTTGTAAACTAGACAGCTGAACTCAATGCTTACTTTTTCAGCCCACATTAAGAGATGTGGCATAGAGAAAAAGAATACTTGGCCAGGAAAATTTGGATAAGTCACTCTACATCTGAGCCTCTTTTTTCTGTCTGTTAAATGAGGACCCAATTAAACTTCATAGGGTTTTTGAGGATTATGTGGGAAAATGTCATATATGAAAGTGATTTAATTCAATTCAACAATCATTTATTGAGTTATATGTACAAGGATTCAAAGTGTAAAGGATGATGTGACTATAATGGGTTATAAATGGCTTTTTAAAGATGCAATCTGGGGGCAGCTAGGTGGCGGCCGTGGATAGAGCTCCAGCCTTGAAGTCAGGAGGACCTGAGTTCAAATGTGACCTCAGAGCAAACACTTGACACTTACTACTGTGTGAACTTGGGCAAGTCACTTAACCCCAATTGCCTAATTAAAAAAAAAAAAAAAAACAGCTCGTTAGGGGCAGCTAGGTGGCGCAGTAGATAGAGCACCGGCCTTGGATTCAGAAGGACCCGAGTTCAAATGCGGCCTCAGACACATAACACTTACTAGCTGTGTGACCCTGGGCAAGTCACTTAACCCTACTGCCTAGCCAAAACAAAATAAATAAATAAATAAAGATGCAATCTGAAAAATCCACACCTGTTGGCCAAGAGGGCCTACAAGGTCACACCAATAATTAGTAGCAGAGCTGGATTTGAAATAATTTGCCTCACTAAACATCACCTTTTACTTCCTCTAGAAAGCCCGTTCTGTTCTACCCAAATACACAGTGATTTCTCCCTTCTCTGAATCTGGGCCTGCAGGGCATGAGAGAGGCACAGAAAGAGTATTCTTCTTCCTGGCCCATTGGCAGTGATCCTAGTGTCATGCAGTGTGGTCCAACCGAAAAACTCTAGGAAATCTGGGTTCTAATCCTCCCTGCTCCATTTCCTTTGTATTACCACAGAAAATGTCCCTTGAATTTCTCAAGTATTGGTTTCCTCATTTGTAAAATGTATTTGTAAAATGGGGAGAGTAACCTATTACATGACCTATTTCAACCAAACCTTTGTATGAAAAATGTTTTCTAAACGAAAGCACTTAAAAATGTGAGCTCTAAACCTCAGTTTCTCCTTTCGTCAAATGGGGATAATTCTTCACTGTACTCTTAAGGCGTACTGACATTATATGATAAGTGTGAGTATACTTTAGCAATACATTTTTGAGTGGCTATGAAGTACAGTTCCCGTCTTCATGTAATTTCCATTCGAAATTTCCTGATCTGCTTAGGCCTTTACGTATGTCCACCTAATAATTACAAGAGTTCACAAGGACCTAGTTTACAAAGCTCTTATATCACAACAGTCCCAGGAAGTAGGCAGGGAATATCTTATTATCCTCCTTTTTCAGATAAGGAAATTGAGACTCAGTACTTGCTCCAAAGTCCCATAGCTGATAAGTGAAGGAGTCTGGGGCTCGAACCTAGGCATCCTGAGTTCAATACCAGTAGTTCTTCTACTCCAATAAGTGGTCCCTCACTCTAGTGATTTCTGTATTCCTCTAAACTCAGGGCCATGAACATGAAAAATGTTCAATAAACATTTGTTGGGCAGACAGTTGACATCTAGTGGGATTTTTATTTCCCTCCTCTGAATCATTCATTTCTCCATGTCCCTCATCTTTCTCTGTTCAATATGTCAGCTTCCTCCTGAGTATCAGTATTTTTTTTAAGTGGCTGAGCCGTTGAGGCACAAAGTGGAAGGAAAAACCAAGGTCAAGTGCCCACACCCAGGAGACTGTTCTGTGGAATGGGATCACTAGGTAAAGACTGTACCTAGAGAGAAGAGGATCCACTCCTTTCCCGAAAAAGTAGAAAGTAGCTTCTCCCATTGGGCTTGCCAGAAGTAGCCTGAGGCACCCCAAAATTTCTGCAGATGCCTTGAAAGAGAGAACCCCCCCAGGGAAGAAAGAAAGTTTGGGGTATGGAGGAAGGTCTCATTTTACCTTTCCACACCTCCCCTCTCTTTCTCTCTGTCTCTCTCTCTGTCACACTCAGACACACACACACACACACACACACACACACATATGCTGGATAAGTTCAAGCTCACTTACCAGGTGACAGAGTTCCAAAAAGCCACAGACAAAAGCAGACCTGAGCCCAGAATGAAGGCTGTCCTCTTCATAGAGCCCCAGATATGCCCCTCCTGCAGATGGGATAGGAAAATCAGGCAGAGAAAGAATGGGGTACCTCTTAGCTCAGTTCCTTAGTCATTGCTGAGGGGGTATGATAGTAGGGGTAGGCTTTGATTAGTCTGACACCACACACTCCTCATGATCTTGCTCTTCCCCAGGCACCAGGGTACTGAGTTATAGCAGAATTTTCTGAGTCCACAGGCCACCAGCTTTTCCACCCAGCTGGCTCTGCAGGCTGAAGGTCAGACAACTAGTAAATAATGTTTGTTCTGATACCTTTGATGATCTTTTCTAAACATGATGGAAACCTCCTCCTCATTGGAGTTTCTCTGAAAAATCTTGATGTTAGAAGGAATCCCAAGCCAGGTAGAGTTTTATAGAGAGCACAAATTCTGGGATGAAGGGTGGAGAAGACCTTAATCCAGAAAAGAGGGCAACTAGGTTTACCTAGGGAGTTGAGAATATCCTAGCTTTGAGTTGTTGGGGGGGAATGAGCACATGGGGGTGGATTGCACCACTAGCCATTCAGGGCTTGAGGTGCATGTGGTAAAAGAAAAATTCCTAGTTATTGGAGTTGATTTCCAGAGTAAAGGAAATGTTTGTGAAATGCCTCCCTTTCTTGAGCCTAAGGGATCCAGTGAAAGATGCTGTGGCATCCCCCACTCCTGGTTTCCTGTAAATTCAGCCTTGCTCATCAGCTTATCTTTCTCAACATCAAAAAAAAAGCTGAAGGAATAAATATAGTCTACATGTTTTGTTATCTACCTATCCTTTCTCTGGGGTAATAAGCCTGAGTTAGAAGAACAAGATGATTAGAGATTCAAGGTGTTTACTGAAGATAGTCCCAGGATATTGAAAGTTAGAGTTGAAGTAATCTCTGAACAAAGTCTATCAGGGTGGAAAGAGTTCTATTGAGTTCAAAGTTGTGTTATTTTACTGAGGCGTAAACTAAAGCCCAAAGATGTGAAATGAGTTGTCAGTGTTGTCCAATTAGCTGGTGGGTGACAAAGGAGGAGACTCATACCCAGGTTTCCCAGACTGATGCTATTCTCACTATACTTCACTACCTTTAACTGTAGTATGGTTTTAATTTTTGTACAGGAAAGATGGGGTGGGAAGTTAAAGATCCCCTTTAGGAGACAGCCTTATTGAGGGGGGAGCCGACCAAGAGCTGATGTCATGTCAGTGAAGACCAGTACAAGTTCAGATAAATTTGTGTTCTTTTATATACTTTGATTCTAAAGCCAGTGGTCACTGTAGTTTTACGATTCCAAAGCTGTATTTGTCATCACCATGAAGCTAAAGAGGTATTGATTACAGAGGACTGATTACTAACTGTCCTATAGAGTAACTGGTTGCCTAAGAAAGAGCTATGTGTAGCTTTGGTGCCGTGGCCTGAATATTAATCATAGATCTTCATATCATTTCAGTCTTAAGCTGCCCTTACACTCAACACTGTGGCATCCTTTACTCCACAATCACTCCATGATTGATGGAGATATGTTTTGTTGTATGCATATCTCTTTCTCTTTCTGTTTTTCTGTATCTGCTTGCCTGTCTGTCCATCTCTTTGTCTTTCAATGGACTGCAAAATCAATATGAGTTGACAAGGGAATGTGGTGACCAAACGGCCTAATATGATCTTAGGCTACATTAACAAAAGTCTAGTGTCTTGAGCAAGGGATGTGATAATCCTACTGTGCTCTGCCCTGGTCATACCACATCTGAAGGGATGCTAGAAGACATATGGAGAAGATGGTCAGGATGGCTAAGGAACTATACAAAATTAGATGAAGGAACTTGGAATTTTTTATCTGGAGAGGAGAAGACTTAAGGGACACATGATCACTGCCTGCAAAGTATGTGAAAAAGGTGGTGATGTAGAAGGGAGAATATACTTGTTCTGCTTGTCCCTAGAGGGCAGGAGCAGAAGAAATGGGAGAAAGTTTAAGAAAGATAAGTTTTGGGGCAACTAGGTGGCGAAGTAGATAGAGCACCAGCCCTGAAGTTAGGAGGACCTGAGTTCAAATGTGG